CCCCTGCCAGACAGGACTGTTCTGAGCTGTGTCAATCTCAGAACTGGATGGACAGACATACAAATCCTTTGGCAGGCAGAACAACTCCCTTCTATTTCTATCTTCATATATTGAGATGTCTCCCTGAAGTTCAACTTTAAGGTTGTCCAAGTGGATTTCCAGTATGCATGTAGGACTAAGTTTGCACACGACCTGAGGCCGTCTGCAATTACCAGTGACAGCACGATCTTGCTCGGCAATAAATAGCGTTCAGTCGGAGAGTTTGACATCCCGCGGGCACGGGCCCAGGCTCCACGGCGTACGCTATTAGCTTGCCGTAATGAATGGCAAAGGAGATTCTATTACTGCCACCAACTCTTCTCACTGAGAAATCACAGCGCAGGGAATTTTTCACATTTTAAGGGGTAAGCAAATATAAATGAAAAAAGACGGCTCATAAATGACAGATTGAATGCAGAACAGAATGAGACAGGCGTCAGTCGGGTAGGAAGAGAGAGACGCCCTGGGGGATCCCAACGCTGTTGTCAGCTGCTGAGACACTGAGACCACACACATGGAAAAAGTCCCATTTCTATCTTAAGGTCCAACACCAGCCAAAACTTTGCTTGCCCAGAAGAGTTAGACCCTGTTATGCGGGTTTTACATTGCTGTCAGTGTCCCCATTGGGGACGTTTCCCCTCATTTCCTGTATGGGTGTCACCAGTAGGGATGAGCCAAACACCCCCGTGTTCGGTTCGTATTCGAATCTCCGAAATGTTCGAGTACGAACTCAATGCAAGTGTATGGGAGTCGAATGTTCGACCCCCATACAGTTGCCGGTACATGTGGCTGCAGTGGCCTGTGTCCCTTCAAATCCCCGCTGTTCTCTCCGCCTGTGTTGGCGGAGGCAGTGGGGACACCGACCGCTGCATTGCTCCGCTGCTCCCGTACCTCTGCTGCTGTCTTCCCCTGGTCCGTCGGCTTCTCCGTTCCCCCGTCTGGCCGCGGCACCTCTGCCCCGCCCCCCTGCCTCCTCTTCATTGCAGGCTGGGAGCCATACCCAGCCTGCTATTGGATATTGTAAAATGCAATAGCCAATAGCAAGCTGGCTATTGCACCCGCCCACTGCCTGCTGTCAATCAGCATGGGGGTGACCTGATAGAGAACTTTCTCCTTCAGGCCCCTCCTCCGCTGAGCCCTGATTGGGCAAAGTCTTGCACCTGACCTGTGGTCAGGTGCAAGACTTTAACAAATCAGAGCTTCAGTGGGCATTTTGTATTATGGAATGTCCGAGTTTGAACAAACCGCGAACATCCCATAAAGTTCGGCGTTCGGCGAACACTCGGCCCATCCCTAGTCACCAGGGTGGGAATGGAGGGGAACAGAAAAGCACACAGCAATGAAAACCTAATAGAGGATTTCATGTATAATATATCTAAAGGCAAAACTTTCTTTTTCCATTTTGGACTGAGTTGGGAATGATTTGAAACTCCATTTTTGACATCCATGTCCCATTAAGGTTATTCCCATTCACTTCCTGTCCTGTAGACACAACAGAAAGTGAAAAGAAATCTCTTTATAATGAGAAATATCCCCGCCTCGGCGCTGTGCATTGCCAAGACGTGCAAACAACTGCCCCTTCTGCACATGAAACATGGGGCTGTCAGAGTTCCAGTTTATATCTCCAATTCAACAAACATCAAGCCGTATTATAAGAACCTTAAAGTGTATGTATGGCCCAAATTTATTTGTAGTTTGTCCCCATGACAGGAAGTGATGGGAAATGCGGAAAGTTTACAGCTATCATCAGGGAACAGGAAGTGATGGTAAATCCAAAACGTTTACAGCTGTCACCAGAGAACAGGAAGTGATGGGAACTCTGCAAAGTTTACAGTGGTCTCCAGGGAACAGGAAGTGATGGGAAATCCGAAAGGTTAACAGCTGTCACCAGGGAACAGGAAGTATGGGAAATCCAAAAAGTTTACAGCTGTCACCAGGGAACAGCATTAGAGGGGAATCTTTCCAATGGGGACACCTGTTTATAAGACATCTGTCTAAGAAGGGCTTTTCCCCCACTTCCTGCTGTGTCTCCAGCACAGGAAGTCAAGGGAAATCTCCCCAATGGAACCTTGATAGATGAAAAAAATAAACCATCCTCTTTTCTTAACCATTCCCTTCTCTATCTAAAGCAAACACAAAAAGTCGTGCCTATATCAGGGGCATCACAAGGGGGTGCGGCTCGCACCGGGTGACACCATCCGAGGGGATGACACCCAAATGACTGGCAGTGGCCCAAGATAGAAGGGTGGAGGCGGCGGCATACCTGATCCCACTGGGTCAATATCCCCTCCTCTCACACTGCCGGTGGCCATCACCAGTGAAGTACATCACCGTGTTTGTGATGACATAACACCACGGACGCCATAAAGCATGACACCCACCCTACTGACCCTGCTGGACTATACATACAGTATAAGGCTTGCTAAAGTGGCCTCTCAGGCAGTATCATGGTATGACATGTTTAAGTGCTCTTTAGCATGCCTTAAATGGCACCTTAGTGAATCAGGTCCCGTAAACCCAGTAATGGTGACAAGTCTGAAGTACTCCCATCACCCTTTCAAGCTGCAGGGATTGAAGTTCCTGTACATTCTCATTAAGCCCTGACGAAGGGGGTGTGTCCTGGACCCCCGGAATGCGTTGGCTACTCTACTCGAATATCCCCTGACCCTAATGGAATAAAGTTGTATCTGCACTTTTTTTTATTGTGTCACTTCAGTTCCTACATCTACTAAATAAATCACTCAGCAGCCATTGCAGCAACTACTACTCCCAACCAGACCAGTTCTCATGGGACTTGTAGTTCCAAAACAGCTGGAGGGCCGAGGTAGCCTACCTCTGATTTAGTCTGCTCGGTAATTCCAATAAGGAAGCAATGGCCCCTTGATGAATCCAGTCCAGTGTGCTTCAGCAATCCCCCCCCCATTCGCCTTCCATAAGTCAGAATTATATTCTACAACTCCGAGCCGGAAATCTTTCACCGCACGCCGGGCCGCGCTCAGCTCTCTATTGAATCCTAAAACCGATGTAACAAATCATGAGCATGAAAAATAAATACAATTAGAATCTAAAGGGAAATTTTCTTTTTTTTTTGGCGCAGGGAAGCAGAAGAGATGCATATGGCGAGGGTAGGGGGGGAGGGGGGGTCTGACAGAAGACGAATCCATGCCGTTGGATCCGTATGAATCTGCGATGGGGGATTTACTGGAGCAGAATGTGGGAACAGTCCGTGATATTAAACAGACGGCGTCTGCGGAGACTCCCCAAACTGGCAACCGTAATTATAATAGCGATAACAATTCGAGATTACGGAGCCGTGATTATTAATATGTTATCCACCAGCGGCGCGCGGCTTTCATCGGAGCTCCGGCTCGGATTATTGTAGAGCTGAATTCAGAGGCAGACATTAAAACGAAAGCCAACGAATGCGGGGAGATGATCACTGAAATTTATTGTAACATACAGCTAGTATAAGTACCAAGATTTGTATATATAATAGGGATGCAACGATACTGGTTTTTCGGTGTCGAGTATGATTATCGATATATTTTTTTACGTCATCGCGCATACGCGGCTATCTAATTGTTTCCTCTTGGTGATGGACGCCGGCAGAGAGAGGAGAGGACCCTCACCGGTGGGATGAGGTATGCTGCCAGGTCCCCTCCTCTCTCCTGACACTGTCGGGCTCTGGGTCAATGACCAAGTGCCTGACTTTTCAGACGGGGATTCCTCGTCACCAGGTGATGAGGAAGAATGGACCCAGCTTTCTGGCCAATCAGGAAGCCAGGGGGCGGGTAATGACTTGCCGCCTGGCTTCCTAATCGGCCAACTTCCCAACCAATCAGGAAGCTGGGCAGCAAGTCATTACTCGCCACCCGGCTTCCTGGTTGGCCGGGAAGCCGGCTCCATGCTCCCTCCAAGTAACGAGGGAGCATGGAGTCGGCTTCCCAGCCAATCAGGAAGCCGGGGGGGGGGCGAGTCATTACCTGTCCCCTGGCAGCTCCATGCTCCCTGGTGACGAGGGAGCATGGAGCCTATTTCCCAGCCAATTAGGAAGTCGGCAGTGTGCAATGCCTCATGGGACTTGCAGTTCCACAACAGCTGGAGTGCCGAGGTTGCACTCCAGCTGTAGTCCTTTGTACAGCAGGTCCCAAGCTATATGATTATTTTAAATCTGTCAATAAAAATGCCGGGATGTATTCATTGATTCATGCGGCTAGTATAAGTACCAGGATAGGCCATTGTATTAGTTTCCTGTAATCCAGTTGTCCATTTGTCTCCTGGGTATGAGATGGCCCCTTGATGAATCCAGTCCAAGTGCCAAACTCACACTTGAAGAGGGATGGCCTACAGTGGCTTAGTGGTTTGAGCTTCTGCTCTAGTGTATATATGCAGGTATGAATGCATGGGGCTGCAGATTATAAGCTCCTCAAGGGTGGGGACTGATGTGAATGTACAGTTTGTAAAGCACTGCATAAGCATCCTGCCAGTAAGGAACACCCAATGTCGCTTCCTGTGATGAGGTGGCAATGATGCTGCACTGCAAGTGAATTCAGAGCAGAGTTGTCACCCTCATGTAGGCTGTGCCTGATTGCATTACAGTAAGGGGGGAAAAATGTTGCAGAGGGCTTGTAGCTTGTCAATCAGCACTTGGCCACACCCAATCCCACCCACTACTTCCTGGATTGCAAGCACCGCCTCTGCTGCTGAAAGCCTCCCACTGTGAGCTGCAGTGTCTGGGAGGGGGGGGCATGCGAGAAACAAATGAAGGAGGATTTGGCTCAGTCGAGGAAGGTGAAGTATTTTGTTTATCTGCATTACATAATAACTTACCTTGGTGCTTGTTTAGACTTTAAATAAAAGTGCACTTACCCTTTAATTGGAATCCAATATATAATTCATACTGAACAGGGGTGACCAGCACAACAGACACAACAACAGAAAAAACGAATCCCATTACTTACTGAGTAGCCGGACACTGCTATTAAATGTTCCGAGCTTATTGGACACCAGGCAGGTGTAATTCCCATAATTCCTTGAGGTAACATTTGAAAAGAGGAGCACGGACCAGGTCTTTTCAGTCTGGATCTTCAGCCCTTCCATCCCCACGGCCAGTCTGCTCGCCACGGTGGTCGGGAAAACAGCAGAGAAGAAGAAAATGTCATTTCGGTACCAGCCGGCACGGCAATCTTTATTATTTATTGCAAGAATAAAATGTTGTGCTCTATCTGTCACCGGAGACAAATTGGAGGGGAAATAAAGTTCTGCACAACTTATTAAAGTTTTCCACGGAGCTGCGCTGGCTCCGGAATATGTCACGGTAGGAGCGGACGATGATTGCTCCCGGTATCTGTCATATTAAAGGCCAAGTCAACGGAAAACAGATATTTCAGTTTTGGGAAAAGGCCGATGGGATGATCTTCTTGTCGGCTTTTCTTATCCCTCGGGGATTTCACCTAAATCTCCAAGCCTGAGCTTGTAGGTAATGCTTACGGCCGTTACAAATCCAAGGGCAGGAATGCTGGCCACATGGATGTCCCTAGCCTTTTTTCAGTCAGGGGGTGGGAGATGGGGTGTCCTGGCAAGCTCCTGACAATCAGCGACCTTACTGGTTGGCAGGACGCTCTGAACGGTGTCCAGATGAGCTCCTGGCAACCAGTGACGTCACTGGTTGCCAGGAACTCAGCAGGATGTCAGAAAGAGCATCCCAGGTTGCAGCCTGAAATGCAGGGGGTGGGAGCTGGGGCGTCCTGCGGAGCTCCTGGCAACCAGTGACGTCACTGGTTGCCAGGAGTTCACCAGAACGCCGGCAAGAGCTTCCCAGGTTGCTAAGAGCTGGGTGGAGAGATGTGTATGGTGCTTACACATCTCCCGCCTAGCTCTTAGCAACCCAGGACTCTGGCCTCAAAGGGGGCAGCAGGCATACTGCTAACATAGTACTGCCCCCCACCTGACCCAAAGAGATGCTGCCTGTGGGAACAGCCCATGGCCATTACAAAGCCAAGGGCAGGAATGCTGGCCACAGGGGTGTCCCTAGCCTTTTTGCTGCCTCAGGCCATGGGGGTGGAAGCTGGGGCATCCCGCTCAGCTCCTGGCAAACAGTCACCTCACTAGTAGCCAGGAGCTTGGTGTGATGTCCTGGCCGGCGTTCAGCTTAGCTCCTTGCAACCAGTGATGTTACTGGTTACCAGGACTTTGGAGGGATGCCAGCATGAGCGACCCAGGTTGCTAAGAGCTAGACAGAGCGATGTCTATGGCCCTTACGCATCTTTCTGCTCGGCTCTTAGTAACCTGGGACTCTCTGGCTGGAAAGGGGGCTACAGGCAGACTGCAAACATCGAGCTGTTCTGCTTGCGCCCTCCCCTCCCTTCCCCAGCCAACCCAAACAGTGCCTCAGGCGGCCTCATCATATGGACGGCCCTAGCTAGCCATATACAAGGCAATATTTAGGCAACTTCAACCAGCTAATGATCACAAAAACGGCTGAACAATTGCGCCATAAGTTTATAATTTCAGGGCTTCTACAGAAGCTGTTAGTGGAAGGTATGCATGCTTGTCCTGGCTCAGCACCTTACAATGGACTGAAGCCAGGCAGCCATATTATTTTTAGAGGGATGCAGCAATGGCAACCACTTATACGTCTATCAAATGACAGGAGGTAATTACATGTAGTTAAAGCTCCCACACGCCCCTTACGGAATATGATCCCCAGAGCGAAGCACTCACCGCTTGTCATCCTTCAACCACTCAAAATCGGCGGGTGGCTCCGCCATAGCCTGGCAGCGCAGTATCGCTGGTTTGCCGACCTGTGATTGGGCGTTCTTCACGTCAGTGATGAATGGAGGATCTGGGAAATCAAGTTTAAAGAGATAGCAAGTTACTAAAATGGATTTATATCTTCATTTTATGCACCACGCTTACAAAGTTAAAGGGTGACGCAATCGTTCCAGTTAAAACAAAATGCTGTCATTGAGGCGGGTAGGATAGGCAGCCATTGGTGTTGCCTTTTTTTTAATGGTGGAGGTTTTGGGATATCTGGGAAAAGTGATATTGAAACTTTGTCCTCTTTTGATATAGCACCAATAAAGAGAACCTGTCTGATATTTAGTAAGTCATCTAATGTAGGTGGTAACATTTGTACTTAGCGGTCTCAAGATCACTCTCTTCAACCATTTTCCCAGGACAAACAAAAGTTTGGCATTGCTCACAAGCCCTTTGTGGTGAGTCACTCCTTTGGGCGACTGCCAAACGAGGGGTTCATCCTTGCTCCAAACTATCAGTAAGCAAGGAAGAGAAGCTGGTGGCACACCGTGAAAAAGCTTCAAAGAGATTTATTGTTGTTGAGAAGCAACATGAAGCCCCTCCTGGGACCTCTTCCTCGGACACGTTTCACCCACAAATGGGCTTAGCCATAGAGACACTCTATACAATTTAGCCCAATTGTGGCTGAAATATATGAGACGAGGAGGTCCCAGGTGGGGTTTCATGTTGCTCATCTGAAGCAATAAAGCTTTAAGGTTCGCCCTTGCCCCAAAATATTTGTTAAATCCAAAGAAAATAAGCCAGCGGCACCGTAAAGCTTTATTGCTTCGGACAAGCAACATGAAGCCCATCCTGGGACCTCCTCCTCTGACACGTTTCACCCACAAATGGGCTTACCCATAGAGACAGTCTTTACAATTTAGCCCACTTGTGGCTGAAACATATGAGAGGAGGTCCCAGGTGGGGTTTCATGTTGCTCATCTGAAGCAATGAAGCTTTAAGGTTCGCCCTTGCCCCGAACTATTAGTCTCCAAAGAAAAGAAGCCAGCGGCACTGTAAAGCTTTATTGCTCCAGACAAGCAACACGAAGCCCCCAACTGGGACCTCCTCATCTCATGCCTTTCAACTGGGCTAAATCAATTAGAGACTGTCTCTATGACTAAGCCCATTTGTATTTGAAACGTGTCAGAGGAAGAGGTCCCAGGTGGGGCTTCATGTTGCTTGTCAAGAACAATAAAGCTTATCAAGTGCTGAATTTCATGATGTGCTGCCAACTTAATAAAAAAGGACAAACCTTTGCTTGGCGTTTGCACCCAGTCACCCAAAGGAGTGACTTACCATGGAGGGCTTTTGAGCAGTGGAAAACGTTTGTTTGTCCTGGAGGAGTGGGTTGAAGAATGTGGCTTAAAGTTCTTCATATAGATACAGCTAATTACAGTCTTTTCTTCGGACTTCAATTGCTCCAGGACCTTTGTCATACCTCCCCCCTCCCATTCAACAGGGCATTTTACCAGCCCCCTGAAAGGTGCTCAGCTTCCTTTTCCCCTCTCTGGGGTAGATCCTCCATAGTTTGTAGAATCCACTGAAGAGATAATGACCATCACCAACCTCTAGTGGGTTTTCCAGAGGGATATTAGGAGAACACACTTCAGGGAAGGAAATGGGAAGTCCAGTTTATAGCCATTTCAAGCGTAGCATGACACATGAAGTGAGGGGAAACCTCTCCAATGGGAACTTGGACTGAAACTAGAAACTGATACACGGTTTAATAATTTCCCACCATTCAAAACTAAAATGAGTTCAGGTGGAGTTTCACAAACTTGGAAAATTCAAACTTAGCATATAATGAAAAACATGGAAGATACCTTCAATTTATGATCAGTAGATCTCGGTAGGTATCTAGATGGATTTATGAAATCTTGACTTTTCTTATAAAAGTCAAGCTTGCCCCTAACCATCCCAACTCCCCATTGATCCTTTAATTTGATGGGCAGCCTCACTGACCAATAAGGAGGTTTAGGAGGTAGGAGGGGGCAGGGTCTAGTGGTTAAGATTTTCACACATCAGCTGCCTAATTCTCTGGATTGGTTGGATGGTTTTGAAATGTGTGTTGTTCACACTTTTGAATTTCCAAAGTTTGTGATGGTTTCCGTTCTCCGGTCTCCTTGTAGATATACTTTGACCATTCCATAAACATCTGTATAAATGTGTCACGGTGGACGGGTACTCACAGTTGACGGTGATGACCACCTTTCTGCTGTCAGGGATGGCGACCCCGTTCGATGTGATGCACTCGTATTCCCCCGCCTGTTGCCGGTTGATCTCGGTGATCTCCAGTAGCTCGCCCTCGCTGGAAAATCCGTCTGTGGGGTGAAGGCGGGAGCGGGAGGGCGGAAGGGAAGGAAGGAATGGAGGGCGTCGGGTAGGAATGAGAGACAAACACACACTTACAACACAGAAACATAACATGAAAGTTATCAACCTCAAGTGTAGGGGCAACGACCGCCAACCGAAGTCAACAAATATTTAAGGGCACGTCTTCCCAAAGCCATGGAACCTTAATTCAAATATTTTTGCTGATCAAAATTATTTTCCAGATGAGGTTCTTGTTTTGTACCAATTCCAGGCGGTTTCTGGACTATCATAAGTTGTTTGACCCTTACCTAAACTTTGACTTCAGTTTTTCCCTTTCTAGTAAAGATAAGTGGGAAGATTTTGGCAAAATGTATTCAATGTGGGAGTGGACTCTCAATTTCACTCAAAGGTCTACTCTTTTTGTCTTTATTTAGAGGGCATCGAGTTTTTGGGTCCATTTAGGGCCATTTACTTTATTTCATCTAGTGTTCTTTTTTGTTTCTGTGTTCTGTATTTTTGTCTTTTTTTATTTGTCTATTTCTTATTTGTGCTCTGTCACTTTTTATTTCACTTTTTCTGCTAAAAAAAAAGGGTAACAATAACAAGACCAATGAGGGCCCATTTGGCACATGACCAGGTACAGGATAGTTGAAAGGAGCTTCCGTAACCCTCAGGAGCCACTGAAAGTCCTTTATACCCTTAGGGCTCATTCACATGAACGTGCATGTCCTGACAACGTGCTCACTCATGGAAAGACCATATCCCAGAAAGTGCAGGTTCAGGCCTGCGTGTAACCGTGCGTAACTGCGTGCAGCTGCACCCTTCCATAGGGAGGTACAGGCGGCTGAACGCAATTACACGCAGCACCTGTCCCCCCCTCCCCGAGATCAAGTCTTTGCACCGCTCATTGAAGAAAAACCTTGTGCCTTGCCATAGATCGTTTCCGGCATTGTTTCATGAATATTTTTTTTGCCGTAGACAAATCCATTAGTGTTTAGGGAAGGATCATTCATATAAAACACTGTGGGGGAATATCTATCTATCTATCTATCTATCTATCTATCTATCTATCTATCTATCTATCTATCTATCTATCTCTATATCCATCTCTTCATCCATATCTATCTATCTATCTATCTATCTATCTCTATTTCTATATCCATCTATCCATCCATATCTATCTATCTTGAATATGTTTATCTCTATCCATCTATCTATATCTGTATGTCTGTCTGTCTGTCTGTCGGTCTGTATGTCTATCTATCTATCTATTTTCTAATATCTATCTACTGTATGTATCTTTCTATGAATCTATCAATCCATGTATCTATCTATCTATCTATCTATCTATCTATCTATCTATCTATCTATCTATCTATCTATCTATCTATCTATCTATCTATCTATCTATCTATCTAGCCTTTCTTTCTCTCCATCTCTATCAGTGTATTTAACTGGTGCCTTTTTCTTCTCCTGAAAACAACAGAAACAAATTGATGCACACAGAAGAGCTGTAGCAAGTCCAACTTGGCGTCTGTGCGGCCATCTTGCCTTGCAGTCCCTAGCTCACTGTTTGCCATCAGCCTGCCTGCCCTTAGCTCTTCTGCAGAGGAGATGCTGTGGCAGGCACGTGTGTTTAGTAAGCTAGAGACATCAGATGCCACTTCTTGGCTGAGATTGCTGCGGCAAGCTGGGTGAGCCTGTAGAGGAGGACGCACGATACAACCATGTGTGTAATGCAGTAGGTGGAGCTGCTATTAGTATTGGAAACAGACTCCGTCCAGGCTCAGATGCTCAGATGCTGCACACCGGGGGGATAAATTGAGATTAACAATGACATGTACTCGCACAGACAGGGACACGTGGTCCCAGACTTTGCCGCGAGATAGAGGCGAAGAGGAATCAGCGAGCCCAATATGCCGGGCATTCAGGCGACGGTTGGTGGGTGGGGCTGCTTTGTGGAGCTTCACAATGAGATGTTCGCCGCGTCTCTTCTTATTATAAATCACATTGCAGGGTTTAGAACGCGCTTAGGAAATGGGGAACGTAATAGGCTTATAGTCAGCGACTGTTCGAGATAAAACAGCGGCTTAAAGGAAAGCAAAAGGCGTATTTTGGATGCGTTCCCAGTCCGGGATCTGTCTAGAAGCGGGCCTTCTTGTTTGGGGTGGCAAAAGTTCAGGCCGGAAGGAGGATCAGCCAACTAATTTGTATTAAAAAGACAAAACAAAAAAATAGAGGTCTGTTTATCAAATTTTTTTCACCCAAGACTCAACCAACTTTTACCCAAGATTCACACACTTCTAATGGAATCTTATGTGAAAAAATGTGGGAATATCGGGTAAAAGTTCTGTCAATCTAGGAAGTAGACATGTCAGATTTGCTTCGTTCTGAATCAAAATTCGGACTAATTTTTCTGAAAATTCGTATACATCCAAATTTCCGTATCCCAATGCATCCATTGCAATGTCGGAATCCAAATTTCGGTTTCCAAATTTCGTTCAAAAATTAAACTGAATCGACATTTTGACTTTTCTGGCCAATCAGATGTGTTTTTCGGTTTAATGCATCCAAATGGGTCAGAAAACGAATAACGAAAATTTGTGTTCAGTATATACATGTTAGGAATGCACCGATACCGTTTTTTCGGTATCGAGTACGGATATATATATTTTTTTTGTACTTGCCAATACCGAATACCGATACCGGAAGTCCCATTAAGGAAGCCAGGCGGCGTGTAATGACTCCCCACCCAGCTTCCCGATTAGCAGGGAAGTCATCACCATACTTCTTGTCACTAGATGACGAGAAAGCAGGGAGCCGGCTTTCTGGCCAATCTGACCAATCATAATGAGCTGACGAGGGTGCCGCGTTATATTGGGTATGGGGCAAGCCTTCGGAGCATTTGGTGGAGTTCGAGTACTTGCCAAAATACTCGGCAGGGACACCGATACTAGTATCAGTATTGGTGCGTCCCTAATACATCGAATACTAGAGCTGAGGCTCCTAGACCTGAATAGCATTCGGGAGCTCCCAAATGCAATTGGGAAATTCGGATCCCGAATGCCATTCGGTTCTAGAAGATTCAGCTTTAGTATTAATATCTGCATTTGGTTTTCTGTTTTACTTGCAACAAATATTCATGAACTTATCTGAAACTAACGAAATTTCGGATTTCGTACCAATCCAAAACCCGAACCGAATTGAATTTCGGATCCGGATCCCGAATTCAAGAAATATCACCATCATCTGCTTGGTGGTGATAAGAAAGGTTCCCCTAGATGCATGTGCCTAGTAACCTGGGCCCCCCATGTCTCATGGGCCTCTAGGGGTGTGGTGGAACCCCCTTCAGACAAGACCTGGGACCACTGTGTATAGAGATGCCTCTCGTTCTGTGTACCCATGTGATTCTCAACATGGCCCTTTAGTGTGGAACCTAAAGAATGTTGAAATCAAGAGGGAGGGTGTTTTTTGATGTCTTGGACCCACTATCACTGTAAGACTTTGCTGCAGGACCCACCATTGCTTGGATTCATCCAGTTAAGGATGGTGGGTTTTATCATGTTACATAGTTCATTCAGTGAAATGCCAGCATCAAAGATGGAGGAATGTGTGTACCCATTGAAATCAGAGGAGACAACCTGCTCCTCTGTATATCCCAGAATCCCCTTCCGTGGCCCCTCAGATGCTGCCTTTACTGCGGCCTTGATGGCATCATATTTGGCAGGCTTCTCCAGGCGGCACATTATACCACCTATAATGTAGGCATTACAATATGAGCACATGCCTATGTGTTCCAACCCTTTCCTGTTCCTCCATCTCCACAATTAAAACCAGGTGGCGGGCTAAACGTATCAGCGTGGCAGGACCCAGTTGGGGCTTTCTTGGTCTGTTTGTCTGGATCGATGGGGGTTATTAAAACGCTGAATTTCACGGTTTGCGGCTACGCAAATGTTGGCGGATCGGGTTTGAAACAGTTGAATGCGGTGGCAGATATTTGTTATAAATGAGTGAATGGCTCATCGATAAATTCCCGGTGAATTTAAAGTGAATCTTCAGCGTATAAATACTTGTAATAAATAGTTTCATATCCCTGGCTATAAAATGTGACCTACTTCAATTACACATTGTGCAGAAAATTGAATGGGAAGTCCTTTCCTATTCTGGGCCTGCGTCTAACTGGTTCTCCTCACTTCCTGGCAAACCTCTTACTTCATACATCAAAGTCAGCGGCCCTAAGATGATGTATACGTTTAATGCATTACACTAATACATCAACAGAGAGATGGCTGCTTGATAATGTATGAATATAATGCATCACACTGCCGCTGTCCTCTATCTGATGTATGGATCCCGCATCCTTCTGTTCTGGCTGGGGAAAAGCATCGGAGCAGAGGCTTCCTATATGCATTCATTACAGCCTCCCATATATAGGTGACTAATCCACATTCAGCCTTATTTGAAATCATTGGTCATCTTTTTTATAACACGCTTCCCCTGCAACATATTTGCCGCACACAATGTTCTGATTTACATCTAAAGGAGACCCCCAGTTCCGTTCAAAATTGATTTAAAGAGAACCTGTCAGTAGGGGCCATTCAGACTGCTCCTGTGCTTTGCACGTTGGTCTGCTGTACTTGCGTCTCTTCGTTTTTAAGCAGCTGCCCTGACAAAACATTATTAATGATCTATCATTTCTTCTACAACAATGAGCCCAATTTCTTTGCAGGCCCTCTGCTTCTCGCTGCAGTTCTTGTAATGGGCCTCACCAGGGCTGAAGATGGCTGGGGTGGCATGTCCCCGAGAGCCGCTTTAGGAGGGGTGCCACTGGGTGTGTGGATGGAGAATTTCTCCCTTAGGGGGAGGGGAAGGGTTGGGGTGCAGCAACTCTGAGCCTTTGCCCCGGGTGACAGAATGTCTAGCTTCCCCACTGTGCATCACATAGGTCATGGGGGTTCTTGTGGGTCTTCACTAGGTGAATGAAAGGCTCCACATCCAGCATGGACAG